AATTTTAGTAAATAAAAGGCTATCTCTGTGACTCCCTTTGAAATGCATCAAATTTGACTAACACCGTTAAGATTGTGTAATATGCTAAAATGGGGTCAAGTAGGAAAAGGCGAGTCACAAGTTCCGTCACTTATATAAGACAGGGTCAAATCATGACATGACTGATGGTTCAACACTCGGGATCTGACAAGTTAAAACACATCTTCGCAATGTCAAGTTATTATACCACCGGCACACTGCAAAAGGTGCGCTGCTACTGCGGCGAAAATTGGCTCATTAGGTCGTCATAAGCATTGTATAAAAGTGACAAAGACGCTACAAAAACGTTAGAACGTAGCTTTTCAACCACAGGGACATGTCCCAAGGTGGGGACATTTGCACTTTTCTTTGGGGACATTTGATGTAAAACAAAAACTTTCCAACTACAATATATACAACATCTCATATGATGACTACACTATACACAGTCTTAATTAACATTGTCTAGAAGTACTTGCAGAGAATTATTACTATCAAACTATGCGAGAACGTGCCTGGTATCCAATCATAGATACACTTGCGATATTCATTTATATATCATTTTCATGCTGATTCGATTTGGGGACACATACAAAAACAGGTTGAAAACCACTGCGTTAGAACGTAATATGGTCGCATAACTCGCAGTTGTAGGTCGACTGTTTTTAAGTTTGTAATTTTTTAAGTACTTTTTCTGTAATTTTCTCACCGTTTTACCGCGACTTAGTACATTTCTGTCGCCGTAATATCGCAAATGGTCACAGTCCGGTTTTACGGGCTATTACGAACTCCGTCTTGTATCATGAATTGAGCGATTTGATTGGATCGTACGCCAGTGAATACAGCCAATCAGAGCTTTCGACACGAAGGTTTATTGTTTACAGACTCTCTGACGAGAGCTCTAATGGGCTGTATTCGCCAGCGTTTAATCCAATAAAATCGCCGTATTTATCAACTTCCGTATTACAAAAAATAGTGCTTATTGCAGTCAAGGTATAAGACGAGGTTCGTCGTACGTAATAGGTTGTCATTGTGAAGATGATTAAAAAATTAAAGTGATGACAAGTTATAGCAGTCATGAATTGTGAATTAATTTGAAGTATAAAATACAGGAAGAGACAAGAATTCTATACAGAAAATTGGAGACAAGACACCTGACTACATCTATAAGGTAAGTATTCCTCTTTTCTACACTCACTTCTTGGTTTTGGTGCGTTTTATATGATCTGATGTGGATGTTTCTTATTTCTAAATGAAAATGATAAGAATGGAGTTGTACGTCCTACCTTTCTGTACAGTGTGGGCTAATGAAGACGGAAATGCCATGCCGTGTGCAATGAGGGACATTTTGCCAGAGCAGTGGCATTAGCCAGCTCTTTTTCGATTTCCAACTGTCGAGGGATCTTTAACGTGAACAGTCTGTAGCACACGGGGCCTCGGTTTATTGTCCCGTCCTAACAACTAGACACTTTTTTCCATGTCAGTCCCTCTTGCCTGCATCACTGACAGGGGGAAACCAAATTGAAAAATCACAAGGTATCATCTCGACCTATGCCGGGATTGAACCCTGGACCTTCCGGTTGGCGAGCAAGTGACTTACTCACTGAGCCACCGTGGCTCCTTGATTTGTTTTTGCGGTGACTATTCGTACCACCCATGATCTGACGAAATTGTTATACATCTTCTGTTATGGATCATTTAATATTCAACCTATGCAATTTTCCAAAATTTTCCTCATTGTACACATTGTATGGCGTTGTCCGTCTTAATAAGCCCAATACGATTAGGACGTAAAACTCCGTTCATTTCATCTTATTTTCAAAAAATGCGATTTAATATAGATTCGTGTTTTATTAAGGTAACAAGGAGAAAGTCTAAGAACAAGATATCAACATGGCGGCCAAGATGACCAGCATGCTGGTTTGCTGTATAGCGATTGTCATCCTAGAATCCACATCTGTACTCGGGTGTAAGTAAACCTCAATTTTCCAAATAAGGCGCAATGGTGTGTGGTGTTAAGTTGCAGTAATGAAACGAAACCAAAAAATTTGCGAGGCAAGTTGAAAAAGAATCATGATTGTTAATGCGTTTCCTGTTTTTTTTTTCAGTTTTCCACCCTCCTATGCCGGACTGTAAAACCGACGCAAGTTGTGGAGCTGATTCTGTAACCGCCAGCTATGGAGCGATTAATTACTGCTGCGCCTCGGGAAGCAAGCTGTCTCTGGGAGTAGAATCAGTCAATGGTCAAATGAAGTCGACTTGTAAATGTGTCAAGCCCTTCAGTTTTCAATCATTGATGCCAAAAGGCTTCCAAGTCCCACGATTTTGCACACGATATGAAGCCGGACAACCAATTCCTTGCGGAGAGAATGCGGACACTGGAACCGCAAACAACAAGAATGTATGCTGTGGTACTGGCTATACACTTCATATTACCAGCAAGATTAAGCGTGGTGTAACCAAGGAGCACTGTAGATGTAGAGCGGTGTCAGCTGCAGCACCCGCAGCACCCGCAGCACCACCACCAGGAGGCGCTGTCCCACCACCACCACCAGGAGGCGCTGTCCCACCACCACCACCAGGAGGCGCTGCCCCACCACCACCACCAGGAGGTGCAGCTTCACCCGCTGCAAGTCCATTGTAAGCAACAGTGCCTGTCCCTCAAGAGCCGTGTATTAGACAGTCCATTCCCCGGATTCATAAAAACCTAACCTGTATAAATCAAAATCTTTTGACTTTCAAACAAAATAGTATGAACAAATGGGTCTAATAATAATAAAAAACATTTTCAAAAGTATGAATTTTTAATATTATCAAAAAATTTTGTTTCGCATTCAATTCATGCACTTTGGTACGGGACCCGCTATGTCTTACGAGACATAATTGAAAAGATATCTCGAGTTATAATCAGTACTAGAAATAAGGCGAACACAATCTGTATCTTTAGCAGGTTGCATTTAATCCCTGTTGAGTTAGTGTGCTTTATTCTTGTGTACCAAGATCTATCCATCTGACTGACACGCTCTACTCCCATTCGGCGACGTAAAACTCCATTTATTTCATTTCCACTCCCATTCGGCAAGTCTGGGCAGTTTTCGTAAAGCTGAATATGTTACAGAGCGCTGGCAGAATTTTCACGGTAGGCAGTTCAGTCCAATTTGACACAACCTTCGCCAAATTCGTTAGTTTCCATGAGATGAACATTGACGAGCAGCCCCTAGTCTCGAAGTCTACGGATTTAGTCCGTATAACATGTAATATCATACGATTCTAGCCTCTATCACCCAGTCCCACTTTGTCTACGCATAGCTGCGACAAAAGATATCCATTCATCTCAACCTTCGCCAATGTTCGTTAGTTTCCGTGAGTGTTAACTAGCATCATTCTAGTCCTCAAGTTGATACGAATGCGACATAAGATGTCCTTGTTAAAGACAGGAGAGGTCTGGGTGTCAGAGACTGAGACAATTCCAGCTACTTGACGACAGATTTCAGTTTATCTAGGAATTGATAGTAGTTGTATTTTATATCATACTCCATATCGTACCAATAGTTTACTGTAAATATAACAGTATCACTATAGCACACAATATAAATATTCAGAACGTAGGGGTAGTCAAACTCTCATCATAAAGACTGTAAACAGTTTGAATGCGCGTGTAATCGGTCAGCTATGATTGGTTATATTCACTACCGTACAATCCAATAAAATCACTGCAATTACAAACTTCTTTGATACAAAAAGGTTGTCATTGCAGTCAAGGTATAAGATGAAGTTCGTAATATCTATACATTGTGAAGATGTACATCTGAATAAAAGAGCCAGAGCGTTCAGAGACGGTAGACCCTGTCAAATAAAGCCTATTTTGGCATACACTGGTAACAGAACTAAAATATATTAAAGAGTAAAACGAACCTGCTATACAACCATGAGATTGTTGAACATGATGAAACCATAGTGACGGTAAATACAATGTTTCTCCAGCAAATACAGTTACCTCCCTTATACTGGCTTTTTTAAATTGGGGATATTTCACTAAGTCTGGGTTTAACGGGTCGACAGCTATCCATGGTACCTTAAAATAAATTAAGCTTTAAGTGTATACAGATTTCTAAATCGGTTTCCTGCTAGTCAGTGATGCAGGTCAGTGAGCTTGACATGGAAAAGCGTTTGGTTCTTCAGGTGGACTGAAATTCTGTGTGTTACATTCTTTATGAAAGATCCTACAACAGTTGGACATCTATAAACAGTAAGTGATTGTCACTGTGCTGGAAAAATTTCCCATATCACTTAATAAACTACATCCGATCAGGGGCAAAAAAAATGAAATGTAAAATTCAAAAAAAACTTTTATTCACAGTGAATTGATTATTATGATACAAAATGGTGATAAATAAGAGGAACCCACTGTTCATGCTTACTTCCAATGTTCAGGTAGAAGATGATGCACAGAAGGTTAGAATTGATACGCATTACACTCGCAATTATATGGTATACAGAGAACATGTTTTGAATGCCTGTAAAGAACATTATAAACCTCTACCTGTGAAGTATTGGGATCATCCTCAATCAACCACTCTCCTTCTTCCTGTTGTTTATAAACACCAGTTTCATATGATTCTATAAATATATTATCCTCTTTCAATATTTATATCATTCCAGCATAATTCAATTTCTAGTTTTTGCATTTTGTTTTAGCATGAATCTTTGGTCAGAGACTATGATCTCATCACCATCTAACATAGTTAAGCAATATCTAAACCATCTTCATAACATTACGAACTTCTTCTTATACCTTGACTGCAATAGTCACCTTTCTTGTATCACAGTAAATGTAGCGATTTGATTGGATTGTACACTAGAGAATACAGTCAAAGCCCTCTACAGAAAGCCTGAAAACAATTAACCATTATGCTTACAGCCTTTCTGTTAAGGGCTCTGATTGGCTGTATTCACTAGTGATACAAGAAAGGTGGCTATTGCAGTCAAGGTATAAGAAAAGTTCGTATAAGTTGATACAATAGCTTGATTGAAGATGTATCTCAGCTTACCGTAAGGTACAAATGGTAAATCAGTTGGTGGAATCAGTAGAAATTTTTTCCAGCCGGATATCACACAATACAAGTTTTCATAATGATCACGATGCACTGGAAAAACAAGTCACAAACTGCAGTATAAGAGGAAATGATGTAAAATCTCTGTTTCACTGAAGTTTATTCATAAGTTTAACAATCCACAAGTAAAATATAAGACTAACAATCTATCATATCATAATATTAATATATTTTAGTCAAACACAGTTGCTCAACGCTTCAGAACTGTACTTGGCACTACGGCAGTTTCTGTGGTCAGAATATATCTAGTTACTTACTAGATGTAACAGCCTTTCCATCTCCCATCCAAAAATTTACTGCATCAGGCTCCTTTCCTGAAAAAACAAAAAAAATAGTTAGCCATCCTGGATCATATGAGAATCTGTAAAATATGAGTGCTTCGTCACAATTTTTTCAACTGTTGCTTGAAACCATCATGCAAATACATAAAGTGTTGTGCAGAAGACCATCAATTTATATAAATTTTATTCAAAGTGGCAGGGAGAAGCTTTGTACAACTGGGGGTAACAATATGGAGTGGCAAGTTTTGGGATTAACATTCCAAATGTGGGAGCTACCTTGAAGAGTCATAGACAATAAAGGGTCCGCCTTTCAGTCAGAAGAATTGTCTTAAACTATTTCAAGCCCCACTATACTACCACTGGATATTCATTTCGTGCACATCAGAATTCATATCGATATATAAAATTTGATGGTACAAATCTATAGGCCACAACTTGAGAACAGTCCTATCAACTCCCTTATCTGTAATATTTCTTACCGAAAGCATCATGTCCTAGTGGTATATTAGTTGAAACATCTTTAATAATAGACTGAAACTCTTCAGTAAGATTCGAATTCTGTTTCTGGATGTAAAAGACTTCTTTAGAATTTGTGTCTAGGACATCCAGGAAGTCTGACATGGTCATTGATCTTTCTTCAGGCATTACAAATTTCCCATCACACACAGCATCAGCATAACCATTAGGAGTCACTGTAGCTGTCACTTTCAGACCACCAATCTTCTCTCTGTAAATAATTTGGTCACATTTTAAGCAAATATATTTGGACTTTACCAATGACAAATTTGAAAATGTGAAAAATGCACAAACAAGTAGGCTCAATAGTTAAAAACCAAGAATAGTAAGTAACACAAATAGGGCCAGTTTGTCTTAAACTTATAGGGATTGGAAAGAGGATTTCTAAATTTTGTATGTGTATCCAAACACTAACAGCATCAATTTGCACCATTCCAATTTTCAATCAGATATCTGTGGTTCTAGAAATTCTACTGAAACTAAGTGTTTTATGACGTCAAACCCAGTCTTATATGATACAAGTAAATTTTGCACTTAATTTGAGTGGAATTTTGACTGAAAATTGGAATGGTGTCACCAATACACATACAAAATTTTTGTGTCTGACGACTGATACAGAATACAAACAAACCTGAAGTAATCTGGACTCCATGTATGTAGCGCTGGCCAATCATTGATGAGATTATTTATAACAACTGGTTTATTGGACGATACAAAATTACGGTAGAATTCTACAGGTGAGGGTGGGGTTTCTAATCTAGGTATAACTTTATCTAGATACAACTCTGAAATAAAGAGTTGGAGTAGAGGTCAGCTTTTGTATTATTTTTTATTTCAGCTATTAGAAGCCATATTGCAATAAGTAACGCTTCGTGACATAATTGGCAATAAATAAACACTTCTTCAAAACAAGGCACAAGTTTCGGAAACCATCAATTTACATAGTGGGAAATTTAACTGTGGTCTGAATATTATAAAAACTATTTCACAAAATAAACCAACTAAAACAATGTATCTAGCCTACCATTTGCTTCTTCGGACAAAAAGGAGAAACATTCTGTTATTTCAGCTTTGAGATTTTGTGATTTATCGGTCAAGTCGGCCATACGACAAGAATAATGAGAGAAAACCTGTCTGCTTTTTATTGATGTTTACAAGTCTACCGGAAATGGAATCGAAAGTAGAATCTTAAAAAGAAAGGAAAGATAACTCTGCTATGTTAGAATATATTGCATTAGTGGAACGTAAAACTCTATTTCATTTCAATATTTCAACAGCAGAAAATTAGTCGTTGTCATGATATAAAAAGCTGGAAGAATTAAACAAAAAAATAAGGGATTAAGATGAGGAAATGATTAAGCTATCACGTCGTGTGAGTCAACAAAATAATTACCTGTTTCACACGTTAGTATTATCTAGGCTATATCGCTCTAAAAACTCGAAATAAAAAATATTAATTTTAAAAATCAACTTGGGTGTCGTTCATACATCAGTGCAGTCGTACTCTTTGGATACTCTATGGCGTTAACCTATGTTTTGATTCGTAGACGGGCAACGGGAAACGCCGCGCAGTATAAAAAATAAATTTTGCCCGATCATAGAGTTTGTCCCTAGGCCTACTTCATTATGTTGAGATTAAGCCCCGTTTCATCAGTCCGAAAGCTATTTAAGAATGAAACTGAGTTAAAAAAATATATAACTTTTCAAAATAATCGAACCTTTAACCCATTGAACTACGGATTTAAGAGAAAAAATAATTAGGATTTTAAAATTTTGAACTTTCTATTTATCAATCAAGTTTCACACCATTATCCTCGCCATACAACAGATTTTTAAAACCTAAGATGACCTCTTTGTTTCTTTACCTGACAGCGTTTGATCGAGTACAAAATTATTGTAGATGCGGTCGGTAGTGATTGTTTATTGTTTACATTCATTGTAGATTTTTTCTAATAAACAATATCTTATCTTATCTCATACATTATAAATGATTTGGGGAACTAATTTTGCCTACATGGTCCTTCTACAATATATTATGATGTACCAAATAGCCTAAGACAAACGGTCTACGGTGAAAGTCTCTCTAGCGCTCTGCAACAGATTCTGCTTTACAGAAACTGTCAAGTATTGCCGAAAGTCAATAAGGTATAGAACAGTAGGATATAAAACTCCATTTCATTTCATTAGCTCAAAAAGGTACAGAACAGTAGGATATAAAACTACATTTCATTTCATTAGTTCAATAAGATACAGAACAGTAGGATATAAAACTCTATTTCATTTCATTAGACCAATAAGATATAGAACAGTAGGATATAAAACACCATTTCATTTCATAAAGTCAATAAGATACAGAACAGTAGGATATAAAACTCTATTTCATTTCATTAGTTCAATAAGATACAAAACAGTAGGATATAAAACTCAATTTCATTTCATTAGTCTAATAAGATACAGAACAGTAGGATATAAAACTCTATTTCATTTCATAAGTCCAATAAGATACAGAACAGTAGGATATAAAACTCTATTTCATTTCATAAAGTCAATAAGATACAGAGCAGTAGGATATAAAACTCTATTTCATTTCATAAAGTCCAATAAGATACAGAACAGTAAGATATAAAACTCTATTTCATTTCACAAGTCCAATAAGATACAGAACAGTAGGATATAAAACTCCATTTCATTTCACAAGTCCAATAAGATACAGAACAGTAGGATATAAAACTACATTTCATTAGTCCAATAAGATACAGAATAGTAGGATATAAAACTCCATTTCATTTCATTAGTCCAATAAGGTACAGAATAGTAGGATATAAAACTACATTTCATTTCATTACTCCAATAGGGTTGGCTACAGAACAGTAGAATGTTAAACTCATTTCATTTCATTATTCCTTTTAAGTAGGACAGTAGGACATGGAATTCCATTTTATTTCATTAGCTCTTTATCTTGGACCGCATCGATTTCATCCCATTTGTCCAAGCAATCTTAGGGCGTAAAACCCCATTTCATTTCTTTTTCAAATGTGACGAAAGGTCATCTTTAAGTCCACACTGTCCCTTGTATCCGGTTAAAACATTGATGAATTAAACAGTTCAAGTTAAAATGTGTATTTATGTTCAATCTCGGGTCACGAGTTGGGTTGTGACTTGTAAACTATAAAAATTACAAATACATTTTGATGGTGGTTAACACTGAGTAGACGAGTAGACTAGACAGTACAACGACCAAACGTGGGGAACGTTACTGAGAGCTGTACATATGGTAACTGCACAGTAAGGAGTATACCATACGAGTTATACAGAATATAACTGTAAGGAGCCTTATTGAATATAACCATTAGCACTACATAACCACGGCCTGTAAGGCATATGACTACGGAATGTAAAGAGTGTTTCTACGAGCTCTATGGATTATCACCACGGACTTTAAAGAGCGTTATCTGCTTTATACGATATACTCAAGAGTTCTATAGAATATAACTATGGAATTTTAATTCGTGCTCTATAGAACTCCGGAATGTAAGGGGTATTATTATGAGCTCTATAGAATATAACCACTGATTGTATAGAGTGTTATTGCGAACTCTATAGAATATCACCACTGACTGTATAAGAGTGTTACTGCGAGCTCTGTAGAATGTCACCACTGACTGTATAAGAGTGTTTCTCCGAGCTCTACAGAAAATAACCACTGGAGTATTATTACCAAGAGCTCTATAGAAGTGAACCACGGATTGTATAGAGTATAACCACGGACAATAAGGAGTGTTACAGCGAGCTGTATGGATGTAAAGCATGACACTATAACTAGAAGATGCCTGACAGTACAATTCGATATCTGAGATACATCAGCATGGCCATCAGAACGAGCTCTACTATCTGTTCAGACCTGATCGCCATCTTGTTAGTGACGTCTGCCACGGCGTTTCAGTTGGCAGGACTTCTGATACCGGGTTGGTGGAATGTGCCTGGCTTGCCGACTGCCAACAGAACAACTCGTTATGGTGTCTGGACAACCCTGACTTGTATTCACGGAGAATGTTATGAGATTAATACTCAAAATACAGGAAAAAACGGTAAGTTGATTTTTAAGTTTGACCAGATGTGATTAGAATGAATGGGACTATTCAACCAAGTAGCAGATGGCACAAAAGCAAATTTTTTCCAAATTAAAACAAAGTATCGTGTCCAGCTAGCCATTAGTAAATGGCGTCCAAACTAAATTTTCCCACGTTTTGCAATATTTCAGCCTGGTTACAAGTGACTCAAGTTTTTGAAACTGCTGCTGTTCTGTTGTGTTTTTTGGGATTACTGGTGTATATTTCATCCTTTCTGAGAGAAAAATGGAGTTATATTTTAAAACGACTGTTTGTTGTTCTGATGGCCGGTTCAGGTAAAAAAAAATTCTTTTACAAAGTTATTCCTTGTTATAAGCGTATATCAAGCAACTGATCGACTTCTATCAAGATTCAGATCTATCCAACGATCGGTCAGCTTCTCCACGCTGTCGACATTCGTTTACATATCCACCTGCTCAGAGATTCTGCAAGATTTCAGATTTTTACTCGCAAGAAACTGGAACATAACCACATCATCTTTTATGTCTTTTATTTCAGGTGTTGCTATAGCAATAGGAGTGGCGGTATTCGTTAAGAAATCGGCTGGATTAACTCGATTTAAAGGTCGCGGTGGCCATGTCGAGTGGCCAATAGGACTTTCGATTTTCGCCGCGGTTTTGTGTATTACAGACGCTATATATATTGGATTGATCCTCCGTCCACCGGACAGCCCTGGTCATAACATGTTTCTCTAGAATTCCACTCATTTTAATACTTTACACTGAGAGTCGGTCCTTATAGGCGGGTTTTTAAAGCTGTCTGCGACACCGATAGCATCGATTTTCAGCATGCCAACGGTCATTCAAGCCTTTGGTTAGTGCCATGTAAATAGATTTTCATAATTTTTATGTGCATAAGGGACACTGATAGGATCGATTTGCATCATTCCAACTTTCAATCAGGCGCCCGTGGTTCTCTTTACGACCCCTTTTATAATCGAATTTATAACAGTCTGTAGATTATATTTTGTGTAATAGAACCCTTAAAATACTTGTACGTCGCTCAAAAAATATCAAAACGGATGAAGTGGTAGGTACCCCCACCCCTCACCCTTCACAACTTTATTTAACAGACAACCTAGACGTAGGAGACTTGGAACGTTCCCTTAATGGTATGTTTTCGAGGGGGGGGGGGGGGGGGCATTTTTGATTATTATCTGAGTCCATTAATGACCGTAGAATTGCAAATTTTGGTAAGAGGTGACAAGACTCAATCCTTAACTAGCACTCACTAACGATAACATTTGACTAAAATTGTTACTTTAACGACCAATTAATATGAGTTAATCCAGTTCAAGTCTTGACGGATACGCAACGCTGCTACTATTCGTCGGTGGATACATAACGCTGCGACTAATGAACAATTTTGAAGGAGTAAACGGGATTGATTAGAGCCACCTAAAATGATTTTAGACGTCTGGCGGTTATGGTTCCTGTAATTTCAGAAAAACTTCAACAGGTTATGAGGTCTTTATCGAAAACTGTGGAGTCATTTTGAGAAAAACTACGAAACAGAAGTTCCGTTACAGAATATCCAGAGTTGTTTTATAATCTGATTGTACGTGAATATTTAAAACAGTTTATAAGTTAATAATGAGATTACAAGGTTTGAGGAAGATGTAGGCTATGCACCTTGTCTAATCAGGATGATCTTATCAATATCACGATATTCACGTCGCTTTTTTTTAAATTCTCGCTTTCGTATATTATATTAAAGATTATTTTTTGTTAAAGTGGTTCAGTCTATATTTGTGGATGTAGAGGTTTTATGTGTGACTCGTATTGTATTTAAAGTTTCTTATTACGCCAATCCATATTACTGTTTGGTGGAGATGGACTTCCGTCAACCAATGGCGTTTCTAAGAAACATAAGTTTCTCCCCACTCCCCCTTTTGCAACTGGTAGAATCTGGAAGATTCAGTACGCGAATCTCTGAAGATTGCTTGTTGTCATAAGTTTCTCGTGTTCCACAACCTTTAACCAGCTATTCGTTCATGTCGATTACCTGGACAGATGGAATCTACAACCATCTATATATTTGAACGCAGTAATTGTCAACAGTAGGACTATAGATATGAAATAAAGCATATGGTCCGATGGATAATATCTCCCCATCCCCTCACTCAACTACTTTAAGTGTACATTTTGAGATAGAGAATCGTATGTCATAAAATCATTTCCCAAGATGGAAATCCTGATTTTTGGAGGGGGCATTTAAATAATTTGCAAATAATCAAATGGGTCGACAGTTTGATAGACCAGAGTGTCCAGAGACAGGTACTCATGATACTTCTTATCCAGAAACTATAACTACATGCACACACAAGCAGGGTCGAATGTATCATATGGTTCGATGTTGAAAATTACATGTTGTCTGATGATATTTCTGAAAGCAAGAGTTGTTATCCTTTGATCATTGGCCTATATTCGGGCTGGTAAATCAAGATAGTAAAGACCAAATGTTCGAAATTAAACTACCTGTTAGGTGCCGTGTGCAAATACAAACAGGTTGGTGGCTTTACATTTATTGAATTTTATTCTTAAAAAAACAATATTTAGAATATTCTGTTCTTTTCAAGATTTTTGCCTAATATTTCTCTAGTGTGTATGTTCGATTCTACGAAGTGTTTTAGCCTCGGTATCGAAATCGCGGCTAGATTTCAGTTGAGCGCCAAATTCGTTTTATCACGTTCTGTGCTACTTTCGGTTTATCATGACATGAGTCAGTTTTCATGATGTTGATATTGCGCCTTATAAAGTCTTGACATTTATTGACAGTAGTGTAGCTTTAATGTCCTCTAACTCTAGTTAAAGGTGAGAGGTTTCTTCTTTCTAGATAATTTTGTGAATCAATTTTAATTGGAAAAGAAAATTCCTTTCAAATCTCTTCCAAAAAGTAGGTTTTAGTGTTAAGTTGGGTATTTAAAAAATGGAATTTGGCTGTCTATAGAATCCTCCGGTGCAGTAAGTTCAAATTATTCATTGTCTGAATGGGCTGCCATAATGTTCCTAAAATATCCAGTGTAAATCACACCTCAGGTATTTTGTGTCAGACTTACCTATATTTGGTTGCCAGGGACTCCAGACACTGTATGTAAAGATGATAATAATTATATGTTTATTACAAAATGGTTAATAAAAAATCACATTTATAATTTATGAAATTTTTTTTTGTCGTTTTACAAATATTCAAAAATATGATATTTAAATGTACCAGTATTTAAATTTTGTCTTTTAAAGGCTTTCCATTGAAATTGCCACACAATTATAGTTTTGAAAAAGAGTGATAAGCTTTTATCGTGGGTGACCGCTTGAAACCTAGTATAACATACACTAGTAGTTGTAATTTATTCTATTGAAGAAATAGAAATTACTTCATATTGATTACAGTGAAACAGACTTCTAATAAATAAAAACTTTGTACTTATCTCTGGATAAGCTGTACATGTGTTCTATTCTGTTTTGTACTATGTAACTGAGGGACTACATATTTCTACAGTGTTTCCATTCAACAGGTGTACTTTGGATAAGGGATTGTTGGCAAATCCACATGCTTGCACATGGCTGTTTTTGCGTTTTGTTTTGTAAATATGAACACACGATTTGATTGGTTAAAATTCACTGTCTCATACAAAGCTATTTGGATAAAGTGAACAAAGGTACATGAAGGTATTCCATATAAACTTTCTAGGTGTGACTAGTGTGGGACTTCAAGACAGGAAAATGGTGACCTAGAAAATATAGTAGGGCAGACGTCAATCTTTAACAGATGTCAACTGGAATCTATTGTTCTGGTTAGATCTTGGTTCAGGGTTGGTACTTCAAAATAAACTAGCCAGTTGAAGTATTTTATAATGATTGTCATTTAGACACAGTACTAAAGACATGCTCTTTCTATGCACTCCTTCAATCAGGCACAATGTCATTTAGACACAGTACTAAAGACATGCTCTTTCTATGCACTCCTTCAATCAGGCACAATGTCATTTAGGCACAAGTTCAGTTAGACATAGTGTAGTGATTGCCTAAATGACAGGGAACCAAATTAGTATACAAGTTTTAGTTGTTTAGGGTAGGGTTGGGTAAAATCGATCTCAATTCGGTAATCGATGCCCAGCCCTAGTTTAGGGACAATAGTTGTAGGATGAGAAAACTATTTTTTCCTAATTTCATGAAATTATGGTGCCACACTTGGTCTGGGTGTCTGCAGCATGAAATTATAGTGCCACACTTGGTCTGGGTGTCTGCAGCATGAAATGAGCTCTAGTCCCAAAGACAGGACCTGTATAAACAGACACAAGTCTAGGAATATTCTTCTGTTAAATTAATTCTAAGCTGTAGAATATGAAACAAGACCAGACACAGTGTTTATACATGTAGAGTTTATATCCTGCTGTGCTGGAATATTAAATATTATATTATAAATATATTAACTGTCAACTATCAATCATATAATACATGTTATCATAGGATTGGCTTATAGATATTATATAGTCTTTTCTTAGTTTCTGTTTTCTTTTTAAAATTAGATTCAATGAAGTTTGTGATTGCTACATTTGCTTCAAACTCTGTTGTTTTAGGTTTTCTAGTGGCATTTTATTAAGATTTTTGATTGCTATTTTTGCTTCAAACGCACGAAAAATAAAACAACGCATCATCCTTTTCAGAGAGTCCACATAGCTAAATAATGTTAATTTGGTAGTTAAGTTTGTCGATTCAGCAGCATCCCTTTCAGAGAGTCCACTTGATTAATAATGTCTATCTTATACTTTGGTTTGTCAACATGACATCTCTTTTAGAGAGTCCACATAGTTAATAATGTTTATTTAGTATTTAGGTTTGTCGATTCAGCAGCATCCCTTTCAGAGAGTCCACTTGATTAATAATGTCTATGTTATACTTTGGTTTGTCAACATGACATCTCCTTCAGAGAGTCCACATAGTTAATAATGTTTATTTGGTATTTAGGTTTGTCAATTCAGCAGCATCCCTTTCAGAGAGTCCACTTGATTAATAATGTCTATTTGATACTTTGGTTTGTCAACGTGACATCTCTTTTAGAGAGTCCATATAGCTTATAATGTTTTTTTGGTATATAGGTTTACAAACTCAGCAGCATCCCTTTCAGAGGGTCCACATAGCTAAATAATGTTTATTTGCTATTTAGGTTTGTCAATTGAGCACCATCCATTTCAGAGAGTCCACATAGCTTATACTGTTTATTTGGTTCTCAGCTATGTATCCCTCACAGATAGGCATCTGGTAATGTTATGTGGCATGTATGTTTGTCAACATGACATCCCTTTCAGAGAGTCCACATAGCTTATACTGTTTATTTGGTTCTCAGCTATGTATCCCTCACAGATAGGCATCTAGTAATGTTATGTGGCATGTATGTTTGTCAACATGACATCCCTTTCAGAGAGTCTGTGTAGTCAATGTGTTACAAGGTAGTTTAATGAGTTAGAACTATATAGAATGTAATAATATGCTCGCTATATCCAGTGTTTATTGATTACTGAAGAATGTTCTCTATAATTGAAGAATCTGATAAAATCATCTTGTATAGATTGATTCTATATTTCAACAGGTCAACATGGTAGCTCTGGTATAACTTATTAAAATTATAACAATTTCTTGTCTTTTTTGTTTTCTGATAATTTCCTCTCCATTGTAATCTTAATAAGTTTTTAACCAAAAGACTGTCCACTTGATGTTATTTTTTAACCAATCAAAGTGTGTCATGTTGAACCTGTTGCTTGATAACATATCAAAATGTGGGATAGCCAAACTCAAAGAGATTGACATATCCCTTTACTTTAAGTTTTGATATCCCACAGTTCATAATTTGATCAAGAAACAGGTTCTACATGGCAGACATTTGGTAGAAAATTAATCAGATTACCATGGAGACTAGAAATATCATATAAGAAAAGAGATCTGAAATTGTAATATAATTATTAGGTTAGACTATTGATGGAAAAATCTAGTATGACTTATTAATATTCTGGTAATAGGGGAACATTTTTCTCTCACATAAGTTTTACTTGTCCAACTTCAGTAGGAACACAGGCTGATAATAGGTCAGTTGTCTAAAGATCACACAGCATGAAACTCTGAGTAACAACAGGTTTTAAGTTCTGTTTAAATATTCCTTCATCTCTCTAAAATTGATGTATTTAGCACTTTTTTGACAGTGAGAGATATTCATGTTAACAGCTGACAGATCTAAAACGGGTGGTTGTAAGGAACTTGTTATGTGCATAGACATTTTTTGATCCATTTTCTAGATTATGTGGTGATTTTGTTTGTGACGTGTGTTGAGACCGTGGGGTAGAAATAGGATCTGTTGACCTAAATACCTGAAAAATGACACCTAACATTGTTTTGATCTACTAAGGGTCATTGTCAGTATAATTGGACCACAATGTTTTGACCAACTGATTTCACCTAGAAACATCAAATTACAAACCTCAACTATGTGGACAAGGTATTTAGTGGTTAAAGGGACAGATGAGCCATTTTATTGACCAATCATACATTAGTCTCAAAAACAGGAATATTTTAGCTAAGCCAATCAGTAATAGTGTTTACAGCTCACCATGGAAATATGAACTTTCAAATCCATGTGTGTCTAGAATTATCTACTATCATATATAAAAAATACCTAGTAGGAAAATAAATTCCTAGTTTTAGATATTTTTGAAGAAATATGTGATTTTTGTACATTTCTAGTACATGTACTTCTGAAGACTTTACATATATTCAAAATGGCGCACCTGTCCCTTTAGTGGGATCAAAGTTGGTTGGTCTTTTTTAGACACCTGATACCACTTTTCATTATGAAATATTTACTCACTTATGATTGATATACTTCCTCATGTTTGGAGTTCATTAGCTGCTACCAATGTATTGCCAAACTGTTATTTTTGACTTTGTTTGAGCAGCAAAACAACATGCACAGGGCAGTGCATGCTAAATCTTCTAGACACCAATTTTCTTTATGAAATACATCCTCATTTATGATTGATATACTTCCTAATGTTAAAAGTTCATTAGCTATTTTGTACTATGTTGTTTCGTTTTGCGATTCATATTGCAAGTACTTGGTTTATTTATTGGACTCTAATAATTTTTTAGAGGCATGAGTCCACTAGCCATCCTGGATCATTCAAGATAAGATAAATGAGGTAGGTATGAAATGAGTCCACTAGCCATCCTGGATCATTCAAGATAAGATAAATGAGGTAGGTATGAAATGAGTCCACTAGCCATCCTGGATCATTCAAGATGATAAGATAAATGAGGTAGGTATGAAATGAGTCCACTAGCCATCCTGGATCATTCAAGATGATAAGATAAATGAGGTAGGTATGAAATGAGTCCACTAGCCATCCTGGATCATTCAAGATGACAAAATCGATGAGGTAGACATGAAATGAATCCAATAGCTATAAGCCATCTTGATCAATGACTTTAAAAAATAAAAACAAGTGTGAACTTTTGTGACCCTGAACATTATGAAAACAATACTTGTATGTTAATAATCCTATAGATAAAGTCATGTTTGACCACCTGTCTGTCTGTAATAATAGATGATAATCAGTGAACCAGGTAATAACAGGTGACTGTTTGTTTGTTCTAGGTGTTACAGGTGAAAATTTGACCTTTATGTTACAAAAAAAGTGACAAATTAGTTCAAAGTAAAAATTTACCTGTAAAAATTTCACTTATGATGACCATGACCTAATTTTATAACAATCTTAAATCCAAAATTTTATTTTCAAAAATCAGGAAATAGATTTTATTTTTGGTGAATATGCTTTCGCGATATGTTTTAATAATATGTAAAACTAATTGTTTTTAGGACATAATTTTATGGAAATAGGAATGAGTGAATGAATACATTGTACTATATATTAAACTTTTCTGGAAAAGAGATTTATCAGATGAATAGTTGTGGGTGGAGTCTGTCAATGACCCCAAAATGTGTTACATTCAAACCAGGGAATTCCAGTAGAAAAGTTGTCATTATTTTCAAAACTTCTCTAATAATTGTTTCATTTTGTATTCTGACGAATTTACAAACTTTTCTAATATTTTACCCTATTTAAATGATGTAAAGATGTTAAAACTTTTTATCACTGTGTGATTGATTGTTATTGTGTGAAGATTTATAGAAATAATCAGCTTGTTATAACTGACTGTCAGCTTATGTTGGTTTTCATCCACTTAACTAGGCTTTAACTTAGTTGTTTAGAGTGGTTATAGGTTTTTATTGTTGCTTGCATTGTTTTTGTCAGGTTTATCTTGTCCTCAAACATCAGTTGGTGTAAGAAAGTCATCTTTCCAGTTGTCCCAGCTGTTATTGATTCCTGAAAGCCATTTTCCTTATTAATTCAGATACAGTGCCAAGAGGGTTTGCAAAGGACCAGCTGGTAGACAAGTCCCTTGGCAACCTAAGTCATTCTCCTTGTATAGTAAAGTTGTATCTTTTCTTTCTATTTTATATGCAACGTTTCTGACTTTTAAACACAGTTTATCTTATTTATCTGTATAATTTCAGATTATCTAAAAGTTATATCCTACAAGTAAAATGCCATCGTTTGGAGGAGCTGAAAAATGTCCACGATGTCAAAAATCAGTCTATTTTGCCGAAGAAGTTCGTGCATTGGGTAAAAAATGGCATAAGATGTGTTTAAAATGCAGTAAGTATGTCTTTGGTCGATACACATGAAAAGTTTAGAATCTTCACTAAATACACAGTCATACAAAAATTATGAAATGCACAATATTTACACACAAGGCAATGGTGAAAAAAGCGAAACATGTAGAAAAGAGTAGCACTGTCTTTAGCCTCATTTTAAATTATAACTCTTATCATCTGTTTCAGGTAGTTGTAATAAAATGTTAGACAGTACTAATTGTAACGATCATGATGAAGATATTTTCTGTACCGCCTGTCATCGTAAACATTTCGGACCCAAAGGTTACGGTTTTGCTGGAGGGTCGTCAGGGTTGTCAATGGATACAGGAAAACGTAATGAATTAACAAGAGAGTAAGCAATATTTATAGTAGAATTTTCCATTATAATTGGTACAGAATTATCTTATCAATATTGGTATAGAACACTAATTCATAAAATTCTGTTTTAAGTTAGATCCAAAGCAGGTACATAACTGGACTCAAGATTTGTTCATTTCTATATCTTAACCATATGTCAATTGATGTTGGTGTATTTTAGGGGGTCCACTGTCTTACTAATGGCAATGGGCAAACATTATCCCAGTTAGATACAGAACTTCAGCAAATGAAAGAGGAACATTTCTTAGTTTTTCATTAAGAATTTTGCAGTGAATAAGATTCAGTTCTTTATATTTGATCAAAAGAATCATGATATTTATGATAACAAACTATTTTTTGCAGTAATGTATCGTCGTATGATAAGGCCCAGTCTGGGGTAGCGATTGGAGCTAGTGGGGACAATAAAAATGGTTTTGGTTCGACTGACCGCTGTCCAAGATGTGGTCATGCTGTTTATATGGCAGAGAAGGTTATTGGAGGGGGACAGGTTAGTGTAAAAATTTACAAAAATAGAAGTTTTCTGTGCTTTGTTTTTAAGCAAATCTCCAAAAAATTTGTTTTAAGTCACTTAACTTTCATACCTTTAAAGTTAGAAGATTTCTAATGAACATCTTATTATGGATAATTGTACTTTTAAATATGTAAATTTATAAACTGTTTATAATCAATTTTTATAATAAGATTTTTACAATACACAGTTTTGAGCAAATGGTGGTTCACATATTGTTAATAATAATCCAGGGTTATTAGACGGTGATGAGAACGTAGTCTCATAAAAGCACTGGCCTAGGTCACAAAGTATAGACTCATGTTAAAATAAGGTGCAATAGTTTTTGTTTGATAATGGCCCCTATTATTTTTACAGTTTTTAATATTAATGTAATATTTTCAGTCGTATCATAAAGCATGTTTTAGATGTGGTAACTGTAAGAAAGGTTTAGATTCTACTACTATCGCTGTTCACGAAGGAGAGATCTACTGTAGAGGTATATTATTATTGTTTTCATCATATAAATTGACTAGATAATCCTACCAACGTGTGTTTCAGATATACAATCCCTGTCAGAACACTTAAATTCGGCAATTGGGGGTTCACTTTGTAGAAGTCCAAGTTTTAATTTACTAAAGTTCATCTCAAACTGTTACCACAAGTTATAATTTTCATCAAGGCAGCTTTTTAAGAAATGGGGGTTTACTTTTAAAATGTAGAACTTAAGGCATTTGATCAAAAACAGAAATTTTGTGAACAAGAGCTTAATATTCTCTTTATCAAATTAAAAGAGCCTTATTTAAGATGATAGTTATTTATACCATTATTAGATTGAAAGATTTAAAAAAAAATGTCAGATATTTGTCTATTCTGCATTTACAGTCTCAAAAATCAAAATTGTTCTTTTTGACGTAATCTTATGAAATTTAATTGAATCCTGGCTATCATTAATAAGGTTGTTTCATTGTTTTCTGTGGCAGCATGTTATGGTAAGAATTTCGGACCTAAAGGATATGGATTTGCTGGTGGAGCAGCCCTGGTAACCATGGATACAGGAAAAATTGGCGAAATAACCAGACAGTGAGTTAATTTAGTTTGAATTTTGATTTTGTAGAGGTTTATTAATTAACAGTTTATTATTAATTTATTATTAATAATCAGTAACTATTTCTGTTAAAACCTGGTTTCTGATTTATATTTGTATTGTTGTGTTTCTGTTGATCTCATCACATGGAAACATAGACTTTCATCCACTCCAGTATGATTTTTGGGTGTGTATTCTCTATGTTATAATAACTCTCATTATTCAGTACTTAAACTCGGGGTTAAACAACGTCATTATAAGTCCAATTAGTAAATAATGTTGTATATATTGAGTTTAGTGTAATTATAATTTCAGTAATGTATCTCATCTAGCCCAAGCCCAAGTTCGACCAATTTACGATTCTCATACGTATGAAGCCAAGGGAGATAAATGCTATCAATGTGGGAATACAGTTTACGCTGCCGAGAGAGAGACTGCAGGTGGTATGGTATGTTAGTTTTTGTTACACAATGTTTTTATTGATTTGGTATAATAAGTTGTCTTAAATTCCTTTTAGATGTTGGCTACTGAGTTATTGCCCTTGATTTTGTGAAGGTGTAAATTAAGCCTGGTTTTACAAGCCATCCTGTGAGTCAAGGCTCAACACTTCTAATTAGATGTAGGCTACTTAAAACTGAGTTATTGCCCTTGACTTAGTAAAAAGTGTTTGTCATCTTGTCCTGTAATGTTTAATATAACAGAACTTTCTACAAATATGGTAACTTTTTTAAACTTCATTAACCCCATAAAATATTATTAATAAAAAATATTTGTTTTTATTTTCAGGTATTTCATAAGAGTTGTTTTAAATGTGCATTTTGTAATAAAAAATTAGATTCTACCACATTGTGTGAACATGATGACCTGATATTCTGTAAAGGTAAGGGTTGAATTCTATATTTTATACATTCACAAGCTAGTCTTCCTAACCCTGGGACCTGTTTATAGATACATACTTAAATACTTCCCTCTAACACTGGGTTGAAACACTCTGTCTGTAGCAAGTTGGATTGTTGTTTGGTGGATTAGTGAAATCTGATTGAAAATTGTTTTGGTTTCATGACGTAATGGCTTAAAATAGTTGATACTCATAATTATATATCTTGATGTAATGCTGTTGATTGTTGTAATATAATGACTATTGTTAGATTAATAAAACTGCTTGATGGCTGAAAACACTTTCTCATTCTCATCACCAATATATTATAAAATAACAACAGTAATATAAATTTGTCTATGAATTGTAGGGTGTTATAGTAAGAATTTTGGTCCGAAAGGTTTTGGGTTTGGTGCAGCACTGCAACATACAGAATAGAGTGTGGACTAGAGTGGACCATGCTATCACTATAAACACGATATCTTAACTTTAACAGAACTAAACTACACAATGACTGTCCACTACATTTTAGCAACTAGTGTAATATTCTTTTTCAAAAATCATATTTAAATTTTTAGTACAGTATTGCCTGGGTGTGAGAGGGTGTGTGTGAGGGTGTGTGTGTGTGTGAGTCCATCAGGATTCTCCTTGATTTCCACGAATATTGAGGCCTGAGAACTTAATTGTAGTTAACCCTCATTCCAGATTTATTATCTGAAAAGTTTTACTGGTGGCCCTATTGTTTGTTTAAATGATTAAGGTGACTATATCTAATTAAGAATGATTTCAAATTATTATCAATTTTATGAAACATTTTTCAAAAAGAAACGTGAACTTTTAGGATTGTTGTTGTTTTGAAGCTTAAACACACTTTTCATTTTACCAGTTAAAACTTTTATTATTGTAAGTAAATATAACCATCATGGTTAACTATGTTGTATTGTTCTGTTACCATGATGAATTGTTTTGCATAATATTTTAAAATATGGTTAATGAATTTTGAAGTTTAAGGGTAATCATTATCATAATGTCAAGCTTGGTTGGTAGATGACAAGTTAACATTAGCTTCCAGCGGGTGCTGATATCATCTTATACCTTGACTACAATGACCACCTTTCTTGTATCATAGAATGCAGTGATTTGATTAAATTGTACCTTAAGCCAATACAGCTAACTAGAGTCCTCGACAGACAGACTGTAAACATTATGGATTATTGTTTGCAGATTTTCTGTTGAAGACTGATTAGCTGTATTCAAAAGAAATATCGCTGGTTCCGTGATACAGAAAAAGTGGTTGTTGTAGTCAAGGTATAAGATGAAGTTTTTGATAACTTGTGACATTATGAAGATGATTACTTTAAGATTGGCCTCCATTAAGTATTGATTTAATTTAAATTATATCTTCAACAAGAAGAAATGTTTTGGACACAATGATCTCTGAAAATATAAACAAGGGACCAAAAATAGAGTATTTTGTATTTTGAGATTAAGTTAGTTGTATTTTGAGATAAGATTGTATTTTGTGAATTAATTATTGTTTTTAGTAAAACATGTATTCTAGAGTTACTTGATGTCAACATAACAATAGTCAAGATATTACAAACTAATAGTTCGGAATAGTTTGACCATCGTAAAGATGACGATAATAATTTATTGCCCTTACTTATAGATTATCATTATTAAGAAGCAGTTTTCTAAAATAAAAATAAATTAAAGGATTGTAAAGAGGTTTTATAAAATTTTTATGTGTATCTGGGACACTGATAGCATCAAGTTGTACCATTCCAATTTTCATCTGACGTCTTCTGTGGTTCCTGCAATTCCACTTAAACTAAGCATTTTATGACGTCAATAATCGCAAGATATGCTTTATCACAAGGACTTCACGATTAGTGAAAACAGCAAGCACTTAGTTTTAGAGGAATTGCAGGAACCACAGATGTCTGATTTTAGAAATTCTCTTTACAATCCGACTAAGAATACAGAATTGTTTTCGTACAGTGAATAATCTTTATCTTTGTACATCCTAAAAATAATAACAACCAAAAAGGTCAATCTATGAAGTAAAAACCTAGAAATAAATAACTTTTTAACATGATTCAAGTTATATAGACACAGCTTTATGGAACAACAATCAGGTTTTTTGCAACGTTTCAACGTGTTTCCCGGTCATCCTCAGACACATGTTGCATAAAACTGTAACCAGTGATTGTTGTTCCATAAAGTTGTGTCTATATATCATACTCACAATTACTTAATATCATTTATAGACTTGATTCAAGTTATGTTGTAATATTTCTAGGATATTGTATTATAATATTCTATAGTTGCTTGCTGTTTAATATTAATGCTAATGATTATAGTTTTTTATTGCATGACATAATGACCTAGTCCACATACAATCTACTGTTATATTTAATTACACAGAAATATACTAATATATTCTATACTTGTATGATCATGATATATTCAGCATTTAGAAAGACACAAAACTTATAGAATGCTAACAGATAAGCATAAGCATGTAAATGCTTACTCTTTTCAAACACCTGATGGTACTTCTCTTTGAAGGAGTCCACTACTATACAACTTTTACTCTCAATTTTGCCATTGATTTTGATTTTGAAATTGTCTTGATTGTACAGATATCTAACCAAATCCATAATTTATAAAAGAATCTCATCCAATGTTTGTTCTTTGATATTTAGTAGTTTTTTTTATTCTATTATTATATTTAAAGGGGTGTATTATTGTCTAAGAACTTTATTGGCTGATAAACCGTAGCTTGATTCCAGCTTCTGCTAGTTTGTTTTAATTTAAAGATGGGTTTCCGTATTTTTTAGTGTCAAATTAGGCAAACTATTTGATAAATTGGTGTTTCCAATGAATAATCATGTATTCTTAATCATATCATTATGTTTATATTGCATATGATTAAGAGTTTTAACCAATCATAAATATCCATGTATGTACAGTCTGGATAAACAAAAAAAAGACTTTTTGACCTTTCTTGATAGGTCACTCATTGGAATTCTGCTGGTAATTCTGTTCTTATTGAGCTGATTATGAATTAATTATGGACATGTGAGGTAAACTGGTATTTTTCAAGTCATTAGAACACCTCTACTTCATATTCATATAAATATTAGCATTTTCGTTTATGAATGAAAATAAGGGAACCCATCTTTAAAGGAACACCATTACAGCAATTTTGCACCATCCTAATTTTCAATCATACATTACACATTCTGACAATGACAGACTTATCCTAAGATAGTATTTAGTTTAGTTTATAATTCTTAGATCTTTTAGAATTCCATGAGTAGGTTTATCTATGTGCACTCTCTGAAACTCATTCCATTCCTGTTTATTATCTGATTAAAATACAGTTTTGATATTCTGTTCAGGGTTTCTGTGGTCAAATTTTGTTCAGCGCAAGTCTAGAGCAATGTTAGATTTAGCCAAAGTAAACGGAAAAAGAAAATGGAGCAAAACTGAGATTCATTTTTATTTACATACAACTTGTAATTTACTGAATGAGAGGCATCCCACTGCAAATTTTCTTACAGCATGTCTTGTCTTGAATGGGTGAGACATCTCGCAGCAAAAAATAAACTAAAATGTAGACTATTGACATAAAAATTGTCATCATATATCTTGAATGAGTGAGAAAGCCCAATTTAAGAATATGAAACAAAATGGAGACTCAAATTAGAGAGGCACTCACAGAAGTAAATGAAACAAAATATATAGAACTGTATTTTAATCAGATTATGTCTTGTCATAGCGACCACATTTTTAAAGTTTTTGATTAATTGTTAATGCTTTTTGTGTTTTTAAATAATTTGATATTTAAGTGAAATAGCATAATTTAGATATAGACATTGTAACTTGTAGATGTTATGATGTAGTAAACATTCTCTAATTTCTCTGTCTTAATGTAAGAATCAATCTCATTGAAATAAGATCACAATTTCCTATCTTTTTGATTTTCATTTACATGACACGCTTTGATTGGTTTAAAAATACTATCTCTGGGACAGGTCTTTGGTAGAAACCTTTTTAGATTACAATGTAGACTGTAAATAAGAGAAGATAAAAAAAGATATGAAATTGTAATGTTATTTTAATATGATTGGGTGAAAATAGACAGGGTATGGTGTCCGGTGCAGGATTTTAAGTAAATAAATAGAAAACTGCACATTCATAGGTGCATAAAATCCCCTTAAGATTAAGCCTAGTTTTTCTGTCTCAACACCAGCCTGCAACTGTCAAAATAGCTGTAAAAGGCAGATGTTTCAGACAAACATGTTGAAAACTGAATATTTTTAGCATGTTGGTTATAATTTCTATCTGTAATATTAATCTCATTTTAGTTATCATTTTATTGTTATTTATCTTTATTAATATAGCTTTTGTATCGTTATTTCTTAATGCTGCTGTCCTGGAAACATTTTCCTCATTACACACTGCAGTACCTCTTAAATATTTAATACTGAGGACTGTGCATTGTGATACCCATCTTCAATAGCTCAATAAGGAGCAGGAAATAGGGGCAAGAAGGGTTTATTCAGACAATAAACCATGCATCCTGAATTGTATCTAATTGCACAAGAATTGTGTTGGTGTCCTACCTACTCCCTCTCACCCTCAATAAAGAAAGTAACCATGGTAACATAACAATATATTTATTAGTAACTTCTTATATAATTCACTATTAACTACATCTAGCCCAGTTTCTCATCCTGGAACATTTTCAGGGAATACATAACTTAATAACTTAACTTAAACATATTTTATGAACATAAAAAACAATAGTCTTCTAAATGCTTCCACGAATTTACCTCGTGCAGAGTTCATTAAATGTATCAAGTAATCTGTATGGTGAAGAGTTATTGCCCTTGATGGTAATGTCAAAAACGAGGCATTTAGTCAAATTATGCCTAAAATACAATAATATATAGGTATAATAATAATTTGTCTATTAGACAGGATCCTCAAATACACAACATAAAACATATCAATTGTATTACACACTGTAATATGTAGGTCAAGTTTCATTATGCACGTGCATGACCCGGACGTGAAATTAAAACGCTGATGCATTCTATACCATTATCATGTGATCTGAATATTCTGGAATGTTCACATGCTTATTTGAATCACATGGAATAAACTCTAGTTTCACATGTTACATTATTTTTAGTGCATTAGACATTATGCACGTGTATTCTATAAGTCATTATGCGCGTGAAGTAAACAAGATATGTAGGTCAGGTACAACAAGCTTTACATTTGACAGTTTTACTGGACGGAGAGCTGTTTAAAATGGAATTGTAAATGATCACTTTATCACACTCTTCTGAAAAAAAAAAGAATTTATCAATCAAATCTTCAATTAATCAGACAGTTTGTATCAGTTTCCTATCTTAACCCTCTAATGTTATATTGAACTCTTCCACACGTGCATATTTCATAGCAATATGATACATTGTTATATACTGTCTATTTCACTTCCTCTTACTCGCTTATCGCTTCAATTATATTATTTTACCAACACTACGATAATTAGCCACATCACCGTAATGTTGCTGAACATGGGCTTCAATCTGAAGATCTCTTGTGCCAACTTTGGCCATTAGCATTGTATCCAATTTTTGTTCACTCGTAATCGGGTACGATGAGCTCTCGGAGGGTATCATCGAGTTATAAAAGATTTATTTGAAATACTTACTACATCTATAATCTGAATCGTCCTCGTCGAGAGATTTACCCACTGTTAGTGCTATACCAGATAGAGATGGACTCCTACCATTTCTATAAATATATAGATTACAATTAACAATAACATATACCAAGGCGACAAACCAAAACAATATTAGCTATTAAGACCCTCAGTAGCAGTTCATAGACAGTTTGACAGTGACGGCGCCAGCCTTCCCAGACTGGGGGTACAAATAGAGTGCAGACTGACTCAATGGGAGCAACTGTTGAGGCTGAATTCAAATTATAGCTACTCTGTGGTGGTGTCATAGTTACAAGCCTCTCATAGAACGTCTTAGAGGGTTCTCTCAAGAAAATGATTTTGTACATTCTGACATATTTTGGAGAAAAAAAGGTAGACATTTAGATTTGTTGAAAATAACGTGGGGGTACAATTGGGGGTGCAAACCACCTTTCTAATGGGGGGGGGGGGGGGGTGGTTTGTGGGGTTGGGATGGGCTGTGAGACGTACGTTGTTGATTGTGTAGAACATCGAGAACAATTTATAATATCGTCTGATTCATAGCTATACGTGGCACCATGGTTACTGTAACTCGTCTGATCGATTGGTTTATTACATTTACCTGAAATTACAAAATATATCAGTTTAACAATCCTAACTATAATTTTGAGACTTCCATATTCGGTAATAGCAGTAGCATCCTTCAGAAATTTAAGTATTGTTTACACCGGAATGTATTCATGTCGTATCTTTGGAACTACCAGATTGGAGACGTTTAATTTAGATGTGATCTGAAATTATCAGCACGTCGTTTCGTGATGGCTACATCAGCTGTTCAAAGCATACTAACTTGGCCTACTTGCAACTGCCATTAACTGGATAGTCGCAGATTTGACCACGCAGGCAACAAGGCAATTGGTTTGCAAATTGGGTAATTTTTCAACCCGAAGTGTGCCCTTGTCGACTGAATTCAGATCAAATGTCGCCATAAAAAATCAACTTGCAAGAGATTCTGTCAGTCGCAATCACTATCATCTACCCTATCGGTCTTGATCCAAGCTTTTGAAAATAAACCAACACTACTTACTACACGTGAAACATTGGAGATGCCATTTTTTACCCATAGCTAGCAACTCATCAGCAAAAAACACATGTTTGTTACATCGAGGACAATTATCAATAGAACTAAACGATAGAGACATCTTGGACCTGTAAAATACAAATAATAGGTTGATATAAAGATCAGTTTCTATCAAAATAATTTCTTAACGAGATTTTAAATAAGTCTCAGAGTATCGTGGATACTACTATTGTTTATTAGCACCACTCCAATTCCCATCAGACGTCTGTGATTCCTGTAAATCCAGACGTAAAGACCAGATCAATCACTAACGCCGAAATGGAAAAGTTAATCGTATAAGCGGAATTATTTTCTGGGTATAAAAGCTTTAGTGTCCAAGATACGAAGACATACAACACTCTGGTTTTTAACCTAGGGTACTGCTTCTACCCCCAAAAATCACAGTTCCTCCCATCTAGTGTTTACTGCTATCGTACACCGAACAACCCTTGTTGCTTTTTGTACGTGTGGGGAAAAGACTTTATCCCAAAACAACCATTGTAAGCAATATTTAGATTGAGTAAAGATATTTCTAGTCCAAATCGTAAAGCGAAAATCAAAATTCATCAACGTAAAATATAGTTCATTATGAATTAGCCAAGAAACAAGTTAGCGTCGGCAAATTTTAAACATGAATTTTTTTGTGAAGTGTTTCGAGTCAGTAAGTACAGCTATTGAAATATTACTCAAGATAAAAACATAACAAATCATCAATTTGTCTTTTATTGTTTACATGTCAAAATAATATTTACCCTGAGGAACGATATCAATTAAGATATGTTAAGCCTACACTCGAGTCCCTGGGGTCAGAATGCCCTGGGGTATATTGACTCCCACCCCACGTACTAATGTATGTATTGATTTTATACATTTAACATTCGCTTATGTTAATGTCATCTTCACAATGTCAAGCTATAACGAACTGTGTCTTATACCTTGAATGCAATAGCCGCCTTTCTTGTATCACGAAAGTTTATAAATGCAGTAATTTTGTTGGATTGTACGTTAGCAAATACAGCCAATCAGAGTCGTCGACAGAAAGACTGTAAACAATAAGCCATAATATGTGTAGTCTTTGTGTCGAGGGCTCTGATAGGCTGTATTTGCTGGCATACAATCCAATGTGGCACATGAATAGTGGATATTGAAGTCAATGTATAAGACGAAGTTCGTAATAGCTTCACATTGTGAAGATGTCTTTTATTCATGTGTAACCCTATAGCCTCCACTCCAAATTTCTGTGGAACTCATCAGTGAGTCGTGAGTGGTCATTGTTTGGTAATCCCCCCCTCTCATTGATCTGTAACCTCGTGTGCTACAGACTGTGCACTTTAAAAAAATCCCTCGACAGTTTGAAATGGAAAGAGAGCAGGCTAACGCCACTGTAGTGACAAAATTGTCCTCAATGCACCGTGCATGGTGTTGCCCTTCTTCATCGGCCCATATGGTGCAGAAATGTAGGACGTAAAACTCCATTCATTTCATTTGCTTGTTGAAGTGTCACCAACTGTTGGTATAAACGAAGGTAACAGAAACCGTGAAAGTGATAATCGGATTGGTTGGTTTAGGGTTAATCCAAGATTATAACTGTTCGCTGAATACAGCTTGTTTAGTGAAATGATATAACCATCATGGTAGGGAGAGGATTAGCATTCATTAACCCTTTGAACTGGCTGTTCGACCAACTGTTGACTGTCGATCCTTTTAAAGACTTAACAACACACTGATATCAAATATCAACGATTTTTACGCCTTGCTATTCTTCGCATAATGGAAGGGCTGTTGTTCTTCATTAAAATTTGTATACCAGACTATTTCTTTTTTTTTCTTTTTTTTGAAGAAGAAGTTTAAAGCAAACTTTGGAATGGAAAATCTAAATTTTATTATCATTTTACAAAAATGACATATTTGTGTACAAAGGGAAACATGTGATATACACCTACTTGTCGTCAGGACTATGTTTTTATCAGATTGACTATAAATATACTTATAAGGCTCAGGAATGTATAAGGTCAAATATTTCTGTAGGTAATCTTCTTATAAATTATAGATAAGATTATATCAGATATTAATATGTACATGTATTATTTATATAGCAACCTTAAATAGTTAGATCAAACAGATGAGGCCCTACTGGTACAAATTATTCATTAATCCTTTTGAGAGTAGGACAGTTCCCTTTATTTTCCGATCGTAGGCGATGTCCTATGGATAATCCGATCAATGCCTAGAGGTTTGGTCAAAGAAAGGATCATTCGAAAAAATGAAAATGAAATGAATGGAGTTTTACGTCCTACTTTTCTGAAGGATCATTCGAGTCAGCAAGTTTCATTGCGTAATCTATGCTCTTCTCTCTTTTTAAAACATCCGTGATGTAAAATCGACCCAAGAAGAAATATAGGGCAATATATCAAACTTATATTTACGATATAAGGTAATCAATTTTTGAAACTAAAATAGAAAACTTTAGGACAGCAGACGATGGTATGACGTCATTATCCAGACGACAGGCCATAAACAATAGTGAATGATAAAATGAAGAATGTCATATAGACATCCATTGTACTTTCTATCAATGACATCTTCATAACTTTTACAATAGCGAGGTTTGTCAGTACAAAGCTTCAATAGCACTATTATTTAAAATATAATAGTTCGAGGTTTGGCAAAACATTAATCTCTCAGGACGAATTGTGTCCTAGGGAATCTAAGAGCAACTAGATTTTCTACGACTGCTTGCGAAATTGCATTATCTGAGAGCGTCTGGTCAGAGGTGGACTTTGACACACAAACCATTGCAGTAACCTCAAATTGTCTTTGTCAGTGGCTAAGGTTGAACCAAGTATACGAACCCCCAATCCCGAAGGAGGCCCCCCCCCCCCCCCCCCCCCCCCAAAAAAAAAACTACAGGAAAGCATATTATGTTACAAAAAAAGGACAGAGGCCCATACCCACTTAAGACCATGGGCCCCCACCCATCTAGTTGAGGCACTGGTCCTTGATTTAATTTGAAGCAAGAATTGGTAGCAGACGTAAATATGAGCGGTCGGAATGTACTGTGTCAACACTGACATTTTATAATAGCTAAAATAATACAATATATTGTAGATCGAGATAGATAGGCCTCTTTATATAAACAAGTCTATCACAGGTCTATTAAATATAGTTTTTATAAAACCTGTATTCAACTAAAATATGCTCCAACAATTACTCAACTATTTCAATTTATATTGATATAATGAAGTGTCACACCTGAAGTTCATTAGGTACATTTACACCTGGGTGACACTCAGAAACCTTCAAACTAATTACTCTCGTATACGGCGTATATTGTATAGTCTCTTTAACTAGAATTTAAATGGTCATCCCGGTAATATTGAAGTGAGGCAGTGTAGAGTTACTCATAACTTAGTTGAAAATAAGTGCTTGATGACGTCATTAATCGCAAAATATGCTTGTGTAACGTAAGGCCCTTCGCTATTACTGACGTCATCAAACAAGTTTTTGTGGAATTGCAGGATCCACAAACGTCTGATTGAAAATTGGAATGGTGCATATTGATGCTATTAGTGTCCCTGATACACATAAATTTAGAAAAAATCTCATCACAATCCCTTTAATGAGAATCAAATCAACTTTACAATATTACCAAAAACACATATTATTGTTGATCAATGGGAAAACAATATAGTCAAAATATCTGTTTATAAGAAGCTGTCACTATTCTCTTTATTTCTGACCTTGGGAGTCTTTAGAAGCTTCTTTACAAATGAATGGGGATAAAGTCCACCCTGCTACCCGCTACCTAATTTGCCGAGGGCGGGTAGGTAGGTTAGCCTTTATACTATCATAAGTCAATAAAGTACTCTATCCTTGTAACTAAGTTTTATAACTAGCTTGTTTACTATATAAGTTTGTTTTATCTATATATTGTATTATTATGTTTCTGGCCTCGAGGGTACGGAGATAATCTTTATTGTAACTATTGAAATTCGGCCAAAAAAACTTGGTAAAAACGAGTTTAATTACAAGGTGGAGTAGAAAATAACATAAAAACATTCATTAGTGACATTCCAATATACTTCATATCAATATTATTACATTCAACAAGTGGTTAATAAAAATATCCAAATAATGTCATTAGCCAGGTGGAACGGTAGAGAAGGGGCAAGGGAGTGGGGCATATTGGAAGGCCCATGTCGACTGACGGTTCCAAGCATCACTTTGTGTGTCGAACGACATCTAGCAATTGTAATCTCAGGGTGTACCATCATTTGCTTCGGTTCTTTTTTCTAGCATAAAAGTGGATCTGGTCGTAGAATTTACGAACCATCCAGTCGATCACAGTCTACAAGATCAGTTTCAGAACAGATAAGAGGTAGTCAATCTGGTCATTTAAGCAGATATCATCTATGGCCGAGTTTCAGGTAAAACATGGGAACAGCAGTCAGACATTTGTCGGATCAGATAAAGTTTCACTAATTACAGGTAGATACAGGTAACAAGTGGCCTATTTATCCAAGCAATTACATGTACATGTATCTCCCGTGACTTCCAGAGCAGCCGAACATTTGTCGGATCAGATAAAGTTTAACTAATTACTGGTAGATACAGGTAACAAGTTACCTATTTATCCAGGCAATTACATATACATGTATCTTCCGTGACTACCAGAGTTTCAGGTGGGAAATAGGAACAGTAGTCGGACATTTGTCGGATCAGAAACAGTTACACTAATTACAGGTAGCTATAGGTAATAAGTGACATATTTATCTAGTTAATTACATGTAGGTATTTAAACTAACGACCAGGTGGCAGAAATAGTTACATTACAATCATTCTACCATCGACATGTTACATTGTCAACTGTCACGTTCATACCCTGACGTCAGTACAGACGACGTGATGAGATCCATTCAGGTCAAGGTCACAAAGATCCATACAAGGAACATGGGGAGGGTGGGGATGGGGCAGCATTCTTACACACAGAAGCTTGTCATGGTACCAATGTCAGCTCTGTATATAAATGAGCAGCCTCGGGGTGAAAAAAGGCGAATCGGACGTAACGGGAAGAAGCAGTAA